AAAATAGTCGTTAATAGCTTTTTTAATATTTATGGGAACGAATATGTGTGGAAAATTGGCAGAAACATGAATCGGGAGTGGGATAAATATAGATTTGCATGCATTTTGGATGCAGAATAGATAGAGAAAATATCGTTTTAATTGTACTCAATGAACGTGAAAAATTATAGTTTTGGGTCGTTTAAAATTTTATTAATCAATTGATAACATATACCTGTAAACGTTGTTGTTTGAACCAATAATTTTTAAGAAAACCAACATTTACTTTTATCATTAAAGTCACTTGACGGGTTGAATGTACCATACTACTCTAAATTATATAGATAGTTCCCAAACTTTTAGAGTACTTTTATTTTAGTCATTCAACTTTTAAAACTTACAATACATACATTAAATTTTTAGTTCGTTATCAGTAAAATTCATGTAGTTACCTTTCGTTATTTAGGGCTGACGTGGCAGTTACCTTCCATTATCTTCTTCTCGTCCTCCTCCAAGAAAAATATATGGGTGTGTTTCAAAATATTATCTTCTTCTTCAAGAAAAATATATGGGTGTGTTTCAAAATATTAATCATTTCGATTTCAAAACTGGAAGGTCGATGTTGTATTCCTCATCATGAATATTGTTGAGCAAATCCAAAGGCCATTGATTGAAGGTCATCGACTTCCTAGAAACCCGATTGTTTGTTGTCTGTCTTCATGTCGAAGGAAGACATAAAATGCGATTCTTGTCCGAGAGTAGTGTAAGAGACATGATCTTCTCCTGATGAGGAGATCGAATTCTTGTAATTTGCTAAAGAGTTTGGAACCAAAACCCCATTATTCTCAGTGTGAGTTTGTTGGGTTAAGATTTGGTGCCATGCTTGAATTTTCTGAGTGAAACCAACTTTGAATTTCTTTTAGCTAATAATGAACCTTTTCATGGTATTTGTTATTAAGTTTTGCAGTAACAGAGCTGCCATTGATAAAGACGCCGTGGTCTGTTCGTTCCTCAAGAGAATCATATTGTGCTTGGAGATTGACAACCTGTATGGATTTTAGATATGTATTTCAACACTCAAATTAGGATTTCAATTAATCAAACAAGGAGAAGGGGTGGTGGTAAAAAAAAGGACCTGCTATTGGAGAGCAAAGATATATGAGAAACACAACCATACACGAGTCTTGAAGCCTAACTTAAGCTTCATAGGAAATTGTGAGGGCAGCTTCACAATGATCATTGAAAGGGAGATGAGCAAGTAACTTCGAGACATTCCTTGCACCAAAAATCTTGTGGATAGCTGCAAAATGGGCAGCGCTTTGTTTATGGCAGAAATAAGTTGCAAACACATAGTCTCAAACACATTTTCTTCTCAAAAACTTGCAAGCACCCAAGGGGCACTAAAACCCATCATTTTGAGTGGGAAATTAGCGTGGTTTCGAGCGAGAGAGGAGAGGATTTGAGCTAAAATAGAATAAAGCAAACAAGGGATTATAAACACTACAGGAAAAAGGCGATTTGTTGTTCTTCTTCCATTTTCGATGGTGGGCCTTTGGTACCGGTGGATAAGGCTACGCTTCGTGAAGTTCTGTTGCCTGCGCCGTCGCTTTCTATGAGGTTGAGCAGAGGCAACAATGCTAAGCTGAGCTTGGTTTAGGCGATGGAGGAATCGCCCATGCCGATTGCGAATGATCGCGCTGTTGCCATTTGTGTGTTTAATTTTATTTTTATTGTCAAGAATTTGGTTCAGGATTTTTATTCCATTTTAAAGAAAATTAAACATATATATATATATATAATAAGAAGAAGAAGAAGGAGGAGGAGGAGCAGCAGCTAACGGAAGAGTTAATTGTGTTAACGTGTCACGTTAGATTAAAACTAACGGAGGTAACGATCTTACTCTAAACAAATTAAAAGTTTAGTGATTATATTACAAATTTTAAAAGTTATGTGACCAAAATATAATATACCTAAAAGTTAGGGGACTATTTTGTACTTTACCCTTATTGTTATTAATAAAATAAAGGGTAAAGTATAGTAATGGTCACTGAATATTTCTGAAACTTGCATTTAGGTCCCCCAACTTTTAAAACTTGCAATACAGTCCCCTAACATTTATTCCGTTTGCAATATGGTCCCCCAACTTAAACCACCGTTAGAAATTAGGGTAAATTATATAAAAGGTTATTGAACTTTTCAGACACTTGAATTTAGGTCCCCCAACTTTTAAAACTTGCAAAACAGTCCTCAATTTCATTCTAAACCCCAATTTCCAAAGTAATTCAATTTCATTCTAAACCCTAAATTCCAAAATAATTCAATTAAATTCAATTATGTCAGATTTATTATTATTTAATTTCATCTTATTTCATGTGATACGTATTTTTTATATAAATATAATTGTATAATTCTTATCTGTTGAAGAAATTTTTTAATTAAAAAAAGTAGTTAGGATATAGAAGAGGATGAAAATAATTCGAATTTTAAATTTATAAAATGTTATTTTGACGTATAAATAAAAGTGTAAACTACTAGGTTGACAACTTAACTATCTAGCCCTTTTTACTTTTGTCATCGATCTTTTAAATTTATCAATCATACAACATAATTATTTAACTGTTTCAACTAAGCCACTAGTCGTTACCAATTGATACAAATGATGAAGTGACAGTTAAAAGGAATTGACATTATTATACATTCAGTCTTTTATTATTTATATAATCAATTTGGTCCTAAATTAAATAGAATTTAATAAATTAATCATTTAATTAGGATCTGACATGTGTTAGCACATGATCATGACACGTGTCATTGGTGACACATGTCACCACCTAATTATTTATATATGCTATCAATTTGGTCCTAAATTAAATAAAATTTAATAAATTAATCATTTAACCAGGATCTGACATGTGTTAACACATGATCATGATATATGTTATTGGTGACACATGTCACCACCTAATTAGAAGAAAATTAAGTTACAAAGAAGTAAAATTTGGGTCTTGGGCAAACTCAAACCTGAGTCACGCAAATGAAAGATACAGGGTAGAGCCACTAAGCTAACACCATCGTTTGTGTTAAGAGATATACAATAATACATATAATAATAGTATGACCAATGCCAGAAAAAAAAGAATATAATGGAAAATAGAAATAATGAGATTTGAACTTCGGCAAAAAATTTGAAAGCAATAAATGATGGGAAAATATTATATTTTTTTACAATAAAAAATATTATATTTGATAAATTGTTTGATAGATTTAATATATTTTTTAAATATTAGTTGATACAATATTTTAAAAGAATAAATTTAAGATTTATATATTTTTAAACTAAATTTAATAATTATATTTTTCATATTTATAATTCATGATTATATATATAATCTTAAGTTGAGTATTTCTAATATAATTAATAATTTTAATTTCTTATTAAAAATAAAATATTCAAAAAATATAAATGAATCATACATTAATATATGAATATATTTTTTTTATTTATACATCTAAATATAAATATACATTTATATAAATATATATTTTTATTCGTAAATTGAAATATTTTGATTAAAATATAAACATATTTTAAATACTAGTTTATACAAGAAAAATAAAATATATCAAAAGTATAAATGATTCATACATTTAAATATAAATTGAATCATTTATATTTTCTATACATCTATATTTAATAAGAAAATAAAATTATTGGGGGACTGTTTTGCAAGTTTTAAAAGTTGGGGACCTAAATTCAAGTGCTTGAAAAGTTCAATGACCGTTTATATAATTTACCCTAATTTTCTAACAGTGATTTAAGTTGAGGGACCATATTGCAAACGGAATAAATGTTGGGGGACTGTATTGCAAGTTTTAAAAGTTGGAGGACCTAAATGCAAGCTTCAGAAATGTTCAGTGACCATTACTATACTTTACCCTAAAATAAAATGAAAATAATTAGAGTAATGATAATTGAAAGGAAATGGAAACGTCTTAAAAGTTCAGTGACTATTGAAGCAGTTTATCCTAAAAAATATAATTAGTACGATTATTTTTAAGGTAAAATATAGTAATGGTCACTGAACTTTTCTAAAGTTTTCATTTAGGTCCCCAAACTTTTAAAAATTATAATATAATCCCCCAATATTTAGTCTGTTTGTAATATGATCCCCAACAGTTACGTCAGAGACCATATTGCAAACAGACTAAATGTTGAGAGATCCTATTGTAAATTTTAAAAGTTGGGACCTAAATGAAAGCTTTAGAAAAATTGTAATTATTGAATCTCATTTACTTAATGTAATTACACTTTTTCAAGTAAATATTGATGTTTGTACACCACGGTATAAAAAATGAAGTAACAATTATATATGAGTGTAATGGAAAATAATTCTAATTCTTTATATATGTTTGATTGGGGAAAAAAATGTCATTACATCCTAATTCTATATTTTAGGTTCGGTATTCCAAATTATAATTACACAATTACAAAAATTTATAAATTTAGATTTGAAAATAAAGATAAACAATATCATACGTTATTGAATTTTATATCACTGAACTTCTAATTTTACCAATTATTTCCGCTTCAGTTATGTCGTTTCTTTCACCGTAAAGACGTTAATAGCAGGGGCTGCCTCACCAAAGTGACTAACCAAGTTCACTGACAAAATTCAATGAACTTGTGTAAGTTTACCCTAATATTTAAAAGTTATTGTGAGAAAGATTTTTAACACACCACGCGGAATCAGAAGTTCATTCCCTAATTTCGTAATATAGGGGAAACTGATTAACCAAAAATCCGAAACCCGATGAGCAAAGAAGCCAAGAAAAAAATTAGCCAAATTTGAACTTCGGCCTCGTAACAGAGTTAGATTAACGCTAAAAGCCTCAATTTAAGCATCCTCAAGAAAAATAGATATGTAACGAAAGACTCACATGCTGTAACAACAAAGTTATGCGTCTATTTTCCTGGCCTAATTGTTGAAAACAACCTGCGCCGCCCTCACTTACAATTTCGAGCTAGCGTTACAATAGCCCGACATCGCAAGCATTCTGTCATCTACTTCTTCTTTGATTTAGATGCCGACTGAGTATAAGCAGTTCCCTGAAATTTATGTCAGCCAGAACAGAAAATTATCAGCAATGGTCTTATAGAAATCAGTAATGGTTGATGAAGTCCGAGATGAACACATGATGCTTCTCGGGAATGAAAGGAGAAGAAAAGTAAAGCTAACTAAAATGGAAATAATGAGATGTGATGATGATGTATAAGCTAAGTCATAACCTGAAGCCATTCGTCCATTGAGGCATCGGTAGCCCTAGTCCCGACTTCTACCTTTGGAGCCCTCTTAGTTTTCTAGCAAAACAAAGAAGTCAAAACACGTTAGCTTTATTCCATAAACGAAACATAAGATAACATGTACACGAGCACTTCTCCCTCTGGCTTTCTCTCCTTACAGGTGTGCATGACACAATAAAGTAACATGGCTAATTGAAGCTTTCTTTAATGCAAGAATAAAACATCGCAAATATTTACAATTCCCGGAAGAGGAGCTAGTATTAATGATGTGTCATGATACTGTATTGTTGAACGTAGTTGCTGCAATAAATTAATATATAATTGAAGGTGGCACAACTAAAATACCTTGGTGATATGCTGAAATTGACCATGAAGCCACAAACCAAGGAGAACAAGAAGTGCAATACCAAGGGTAACAAGAAACACGGACTCAACACTGAGGAAACCACCAGCCTCAACAACTTCAATGGTACCGTTATAGAATATACTTTGGAATGGCTGCTGGTCAATCTCATAGATAATCTTACCCACAAGATCAAAAGTTCCATCCTGCATCAAAAGTTTAGATGTGTAAGCTTCACTGCAAGACTACTTCTCGTTGAAAGAATTTATATACAATTTTAGGGCATAGAACTCCAAGAATACTCATTTACCTGTAAGTACTTGCTAACAGCAAATATGTAAGGGAAAGTAGCTTGCACTGAAGGGGGTACAATTGCATTGTTGAAGGCCTACATGAAAACAATTATATTCAATTACATAAACTAGAAACGTCACAATGCAGCTTTTGTGCAACAATATATGGTGTAACACTCCAAAATATTAGGCCTAGGGTGCGTGATCAACTTTGTACCAGCGTATAATCTCAAGATCTTTTTCAAATACTGCAAAAACCGTTTGATAACGAAGTAAAAAAAAAACTTAGAACACAGTATACCAAACGCACTGGCACATCATAATAATTGCACAATGAACATGAATGCCTAAACTATATATACATGCTCAATCTCATCTGAGGATCATTGTAAGGTCTACACTTGCAACTTAAAGACATAGAAAAATCTACACTTGTACCAAAACTCTGTGCTAATGTTTCTTAAATTGAGATATAACTTATCAATGCAAGGTCAACATCCATCCATCACACTAAAAAATAACAGCTAAATAACTGACTCAACTATAACTGTTATTGTTGTTTAGAGTAGGTACTAAGTATGCAGTTGCAAGTGAAACACAGACTAAAGGCTCACAATGCATAACTCATATCATTGACCATATGTTTGATGATGGATATTTAAACATGCAATAAGATACCATAAAAACATGAGAACATGCATGGTCAATGACTTAACTCCATAGACATCATATGTTAAGCAAGCAAACTTAAAAATGATCAAGAAGATCAAACCCAATGAGTGTTTAATTGTATTTATAAAACTATCTGACTGAATAATTAATTTTATGGTAAAGTATAGTAATGGTCACTGAATTTTTCTAAAGCTTTCATTTAGGTCCCCCAACTTTTAAAACTTGCAATACAATCCTCCAACATTTAGTCCGTTTGCAATATGGTCCCCCAACAGTTACGTCAGGGAACATATTGCAAACGGACTAAATGTTGAGGGACCATATTGCAAACAGACTAAATGTTAAGGGACTGTATTGCAAGTTTTAAAAGTTTGGGGACCTAAATAAAAGTTTTAGAAAAGTTCAGTGACCATTACTGTACTTTACCCTTATTTTTATATTAACCCTTTCGCGAAGCGACGCGGTTTAAATTCCTACGATACGCTCGCACAGCAAAATTAAAATCCCAAAACTTCATTAAGAAATAAATTAACTCGCCTGAGTTATCTTGCAATTTATTCCTTCACTTTGAAATTATAAATCTTGTGGTTAAATCAGAATGTGGCTGGAGATCATCTGCGGACTGATCATTTACCAGTTGTACCGGCTATTCTTCTATGGCAGCAACAACGCTTTAGATGTCGAAACCTCTGATTTTAATGCTATTTTCTCCGTCGCCAACCGGTACCTTTTTCTTTCTTTCTTTCTTTCTTTCTTTCTTTCTTTTACACTTTCAGCTTATGCATATCTTTTCATTTTTATAATTTTATAATAAAATTGTCGGAAAAAGGTGTCAAATTGTTTCTGCGATGAGTTTGATTGTGTAAACATTACTGGGTTAGGGCTTACTTGGTTTCCTGGAAAATCGCAATCACTCAAGGTGAAGATTTTTTTTTATTTTGTTTGAATCACTAGTAGAGTGGCAAAGGACTTGATATCAAGTTTTCAATTGGCACCAATCCTAGGTTCCTCCCCTGGACAACCCAACCATTTTCCCCTTATCCTAATAAATAAATAAATAGATTTTTGAATAATTAAAGTCAATATTTTAGTCTTATTTGAAATGGGGGAACAATTGGCTATGTGATTCATACGTCGTTATCCATGGCCCATGCTTCATTTAGTGCTCGATATAGATGTATATTGAACACGAATATGCTCAACTTCTTAAAGTTAGTTCATTTGTTTGAAAGATTATGCTCTATACACATGTCCGAATTCATGTTGTACAAATCTATTGAACACGAATACATTAGTACAAATTAAGAGTACAATAGCATAGACAATTTATGTTTCTAATATGGTTTGCATTGCAAGTATTTACTGATTTTTAATCAGACAGTATATGCTACTAAGAAAACAGAAAAAATCAATTAGGAAACGAGCATAGTCTTAAGTTTATTTTGTAGCTTATTTAGGACCAATATTGACATTCATGTTAAACTGAAATAGATTATTTCAGCTATCTGATCTCTAAATTTATTTTCCTTGGATTTTCATGGACCATTATCAAATCCTCATCTCCGGTATAACTGTTCCTTTTTGTGCATCTTCATCGTAGACTTGAAAAGCTTTGTGGTGGAAAAGCATATGTGGGGCTTAACATTCCGGATGCTGATACTGGTACTCGGAAGAATATCGATATTGTGCTCGTTTCCAAAGGGTAAATTATTCCTGCTTTACAAGCTACATTTCAGTTTTTTATTAAGCTTTAATTGGCTTGCCTAAGTTGCTTAAGAAGATGAAAATATGATTGAGAACAGCACACTTCAAATATATTGTGTGTGCGTGCGAGTTTTTCCCCTTCTATGTCTATTTTCGCGTACTTAGATTTTATTTCTTGAAACTTTAACACATTTGTGCAGAGAAGCAGCGGTTATTTCTGTCAAGAATGTGTCAGGATTTGTTACTATAAGTGAGGATGGTACTTGGACTTGTGAAGGTGGCCATAGTCACAGGAAAGAGCGTCTTCCTGATCCTGTAAGTCAACAAGCTCAAATGTCTGCTTTTTCATCAACTCGATGTTTATTGCTTTTGAATCTTTATCAGGAGAATGGTGTCTGTTTGCTCCCATAAAAGCTTTGCTTGATGAGTTGTATTCTTACTGTCGATCATGTAATATTAACTGCATAAATTTACTGATTTCTCCACATCCTCAAACATATTTCTACCTAAGAAGGACCTCCATTAACCACAGAAACTGCTTAACATGATATCAGAGATCATGTTCGGTTTTGTTCTTGATTGCCTAACCCCATGAGGTTGATAACTCTTGGTGAAGTTGTCCTCATGTAGGTAGGTCTTGTGAGCTATGCATGTGAGAGCGAGTGTTAAGTGATTTTCTGTGGTCTTATATTACATTTGGGCCCTAGGCCCTCCACCTATTACAAATTAGTTTTAAGTTGGATACTCAAGTACAAAGCCTTTAATATATTGAAAATTTTCTACTGCCATTGATGTTTGAGGGCCAAAAGAAAAGCTTTACTTTACAGTGCATAGTAATGAAGATATACGTGGTTGCAGGTTGTGGAGGTTAAAAAACGAGTTTCAGTCCTTGAGTCATATCTTGAACAAAGGGGAGTTGCTTTGCCCGAAGGATTTTTTTCTTACAAAGTTATAATTCCCAATCCGAACTTTCGGTATGTACGAAGTAATGTTATTTTCCTTTAAAAGTTCATATAGGAGTATGTACTGAATGGTTTTCAATTGCAGTGAGATTTATAGAAATTTTCCACATGAGGTTATCACTTATGATCAATGGGTGCAATTAGAACCTGAACCCAAAAGTATGATGTTCGGATGGGTTAAAGGTGCTTTTCATGGTGGGAAGAAGGCAATGCAAGACTCTTTCCATCAACAACTCAACTTTATTCTCGGCACAGCACCTATGTGGGATAGGTTTGTAATAACGTGCCAATAACTTTGATTTTAACTTGGTTTACATAAAAGTATAATTTCTTATGCATATTATGCCATTTGGGTCGGTAATGCTGATTATGTGTCTTACTATATGATACTGAAATTTTGTTATATAATTTATGTCTGCTCTGCTTTTCCTTGAATTAATTGCAATGTGTTAAAGAGATTCATTGCAGGTTTGTAATCTGTGCCAATAACTTCAATTTTGCAATTAATTCAGCGAGAAGCAGAGTAAACATAAATTAAGCGGAGCATTGGAGAATAAGTAAGAAAACATTTTTTTATCGTGGTTTCTGCAGGCTGGAGCTTAAAGGAAGCAAGTATATTCTTGGAGAATTTCTGGAGTTTAAAGGGAAGGAGGAGGATACCCAGGCTTTGAGACATATCAAGAGATCGAAAGTTGGCCACATTGCGATCCAAAAGACTAGCATGCTTGGATTAGGTAAATCCTCAGTTTAATTTCAATCTGCAATTTGTGTAGTCTGGTCTGCCTCTTTTACAATGTTTTCCTTCATTTGAATTCTAAAATCTTAAAATATTCATGGGAAACACCCTGGGCATTATGATACCATATTTAGGCCACAAATTGTGATGCTGGTTTGTAAATGTCATAAAATGCAACTTCTTTCTTCAATGGTCTGTACAGTAAATATGGTGATGGTACAAGTTATAGGTCGTGTGGCAGTTTAAGAACTAAGGACCTAGCTGCCGAACCAGAATTGAATTCCTGTAATCATAGAACTTCAACAGCTTATCTCCGATCCTTAAGTTCTAGGTAATCTTGATGACCCAGACATCGAAACATGTATTGGCATCCATCACTCGTACACAGCCTAGCAAGTACCCAGAACTTTTTGTCTAATGTGGCAAAAACATTGCCAATAATGCATGTATAGACATAATCCATGGTTTAGCTCTATTGTTATATTATCTTCTTACATCTCTACTCGATTACTTGGCGATGCAGCCCATTCAAAGCTCCAGGTTGTTTACTATCCTCGAGATTATCGAAGTGAAGGAACTTCAACTTCGGATTGGAGGGAAGTTGAAGTAAGATCAAGTACTGAGGTCATATTCCACCCTTCAAATTCTAACAAAGTCCGCAAATACAAGCTTTCTTCAATCATATCTATGTCACTAAGTGCCTAAGGATGTCACTAAGTGCCTAAGGATGTACAGCACAAATGAGGACCATGCATGTCATCTTTGTGTTACAATAAAAAGAAAGCTTGCTTATAAACCAGTTGTATAAATGCATCAATTTTCTTTTGTGGGTATTTTATTATTAGTTTTTGTTAGAAAACCGGAGAATTGTAAGTGGCAGATTACATATAGCATGTGAAAATACGAGCCTATACGATACTTCAAGCGACTTTATTTTTCTCCCAAAACTAACGAGAAGATCCCCCCCAGTTTTTCTTCTTTCTATCACAAATAACCCACCAAAAATAATCATTAGTGACTGCTAAGAAATACTAATAAACAACCATACATAAACCAAATCACCAGGTGATAAACAATATCTCCAATGCGGCTCAAAATAGTATATTGCCCATAGAAACGAGGGTTGAGCTTGTTAACCTTCTTTGCAAGTGATTGGAGTATGTAAGGCTGTAACCATACGTAAACCAAATCACCAGGTTGAATTACCACATTACGACGCTTGGCATCATCATAAGGTTCCATTTGAAACTGAGCATGGTCAAATTAGCTTTAGGTTCGTCGAGAATGGCGTGGCGAGCATCTAATTGTTGGTTGAAATAGGTCTAACAAGTTTTATTGGGAACACGTCCTTAAAGGAGAAGATACAAATCATATATTTCAAGATTTAATTGCTTATATGTAAAAGAAAAAGATAATAAATGCTTTAACAATGTTCCTAAGTTGCTATCTTCATCAAATCATGTTAAATACTAAAATTTTAATGATTAAAAAAATATTAATAATTGTTTTATAAAAAAATTTGATGATGAAAGTAGAGTACTCTTGTTTATATACCTAGTTTCACAAATGGTTACGTGTCGATTTTCTCTTCCTACTTATTTATTTTTAATTATTTCATTCTCCATGCAAATAATCAAATCTAAAGCACTGTGAGAGCCTAAAAGTTTATAACCCTTCCTTGGCTTCTACTTTTGTTTTTGTCCTTATCAAATCTAGCTCTTGGTTAACTATCATGGCCAGTCCCCTCACTCTCTGATCTTCAAATTCAATGTTTTTCAAATACCCTTTTTGCTTTTGTTATTATTGAAACCGAATATGGATTCACTTCATGATTCAATATCAGCTGCGGCCGCTGCCAACGGCAACTCGGTGCCGCCGTTTCTCAGCAAAACTTACGATGTAGTGGATGACCCATCGACCGACTCGGTCGTGTCGTGGAGTAGCGGTAACAACAGTTTCGTTGTCTGGAAAGTGCCGGAGTTTGCAAGGGACCTTTTGCCCAAGTATTTTAAGCACAACAATTTCTCCAGCTTTGTCAGGCAGCTCAATACTTATGTGGGTATTTCCTTATTTATGCTTATTTGATTCCCTTTTCCTCTTTTGTTTTTTTAAATAAATATCGCGATTTTTATTCATTCGGATAGTTATTGGGCCGTAGCTTTAGGTTACATACACCTGCTTGGAATTCGAAACTATGACCACTTAGATGTATTTCCTCGAAGATGATTGCAAATTTTTCGTTTGATTTATTTTTTTATTTTTGGGTCTAGTTTTGATTTTTTATTCAAGAACCCATGTAGTTGTTGGATCATGAATTTATAGTATAACTTTCGATTTGTTGTGTGAGATGAATTTAATGGAATATGGATTTTGTTGTTCCTCTTTGTATGCTAGATCATCAATGGCATCAGGATGATTGAGTGAAAAGATGTTTGTCCCTGGTATACAAATGTGGAAAATTGAGATGAAATATAGAAACTAAAAACTGAATGTTTGTGTATATGATTTGGGTTTGGGTCAAATGTTTTCAGCTCCAAGGGTTCATGGAGCTAAGGAACTCTTTCTGTCTCAGTAAATTCGAGAATTTTGGACTGTGATTTTCCGAAATAATTTACTTGTAATGCTGCTATGGGGGTTTCGTTATTGTTTGATTCAATGAATTGATAAAGCATGCTTTGATTTACTGAAAGGCATTTCATTAAGAGCTTTGTCATGCAATGTATAGGTTATTACTTCTTATCTTGTTTCTTTAATAAATTAGTTGACCCTTATTCCCATATGTAATGGGGTAAGAGAGAGGTAGGATAGTAGGCTGCCCCCAACACCAGGTTGAGAGCAGCTTCCGTGGAAGACCTCCGAATTATGGATTGCCCACCGTGAGACTCGATCTGTTCTTTATCAGCTGAAATGTCAAGTTTAGTGTTCATGTGTGTCATGTACCTATTTCATGTTTATTGAAAAAAAAATCCAAATGCCTGTTTGCTATTTTTCATCTATAATTTATATAAACCCAGCAGATATATTTTCCAAGCTTTGTTATTATGTTGTTCCATTTGGTCTCTTTTTTCTTTGTTCTTTCTTATTTGATCTAACTGCATTATGTGTTTACTTAAAGAATAAGGGCTTCATAAGCTAGCATTTTGTCTTGCAGATTTCTCTAGTAAGATAATAAACTCAAAGGATTGGCTAAACCAAAAATTTATTCCACATTTTCTCATATTACCTTTTCTTCTTTTGATTTTTTCATAAAGTTCTTTTTTCATTTTAAAATGACTCTTTTAACTTACAAGTTAACAAAGGCATGATGGAGAGAATAGTATTTCTAGGCTGCTGCCACAGATTGTAATTTGAAATGATATTCATTCAGAGGGTTGACAATAGAGATTGACCTTTTTTTAGCTGAAAAACTCATCAAATTCTAATTGTGTCTGTTCAGGTTTAAGTATATGCATGTAATTACTAATTGATTATGGTGAGGCATTCGGGTTCAACTGAGACAGATGATATGTGATTCAAATAGATGTTAAACTTCAATCCTACTTTACTTGTGTGAATTTGCTAAATCCAGTTAGGCATATATATACTATAATTCGTCTTGTTGATTATCATAATTTTTCCCTTTAGGGTTTTAGGAAAGTTGACCCTGACCGCTGGGAATTTGCTAATGAGGGGTTCCTACGAGGTCAAAAACATCTTTTGAAAACTATCAGCAGGCGGAAACCTGCTAATGTCCAGAGTAATCAGCAACCTCAAGTTCAGAACTCATCTGTTGGAACTTGCATTGAGGTTGGGAAGTTTGGGCTTGTAGAGGAAGTTGAAAGACTTAAGAGAGACAAGAATGTTCTCATGCAGGAACTCGTTAGGTTGAGGCAGCAGCAGCAAGCAACTGATAACCAGTTGCAAACTGTTGGCCAACGCGTACAGGTGATGGAGCAGAGACAGCAGCAAATGATGTCTTTTCTCGCTAAGGCCATGCAAAGTCCAAGTTTCTTAAGCCAGCTTGTACGCCAGCAAAATGAAAGCAACAGGCTCATTACTGGAGCGAACAAGAAGAGGAGATTCCCCAGGCAGGATGAAGAAAATTTAGCTGGTGAAAATGGTGCCATATCTCCTAATGGGCAGATTGTAAAGTTCCAGCCTTCACTGAATGAGGCAGCGAAGGCAATGCTGCACCAGATATTGAAGATGAATACATCACCTAGAATAGAACCCCAAATAAATAACTCAGGTGCTTTTATGATTGATGGTGTTCATCCTTCCAACGCATCTGACAGTGGGAGCTCCTCCAGTTGGATTTCAGGTGTAACACTTTCAGAAGCCCAACCAGCTTCTGCACAGTCTTATCTGCAAGCGGAATCAGGATTTCCCACCACTTGTCTGTCAACTGCTGCTCATCTAACAACCGAGCATACTAAAGTGGATCAAATTTCTCAGACAAATGAGCATAACTCACAGAAACATGGAGTTTCTCCTAATGTTTCACAAATGCAAGGGGTTGGTCCTGATAATACTGTTAGACTTACTGATAGAAGTTTGGCAGGATCTGAGAGAGGCAATGAAGCATATCTCGATCCCATATCAGACGTTTTGGATGGTACAATGCCTGTAGAAACTGATGACTTTTCTGTCGATCACGATATGGACATCTTGCTTGATGAAAACCCTAAACTTCCAGCAATTAACGACGTTTTCTGGGAACAGTTTTTTGCCACAAGCCCTCTCACTGGGGACACTGATGAAATTAGTTCGAGTTCAGTGGAAAACGGTGCAAAGTGGGTACAGGAAGCAGCACCTGTAGGGAAGGAGAATGGATGGAATGGGATTCAGCATATGAACCATCTTACTGAGCAGATGGGCCTTCTTTCATCGGATAGCCAGGCAGGGTGATATCCATCAAATTGTTTACATGCATGTTTTCTAGCTACAATGAGGTAAAAATCTTCAACCAATTGTTATACCATAGTCCTTACGAACATAGTACCATCCCGAGTCGGTATATCACAAGGAAATGCTTTTTGTTTTATCACTCGATAGTTATACATGCCATATACTGCTAACGTAACAGATGAATTTGGTGGCTTGCTGAGATTGCTTTTTATTATCTTTAAGCTGTTGACATTTAATGCCATCTTTAATCTGCTATGAGCACAATATAAGAGAAGCTATTATCATTTTTGAGGATTCAATTTCCTATGGTTTTTGCAGAGGAGGATGATCTATGATGCCCAAGCAAGAGAAACTATTTGTTGTTAAAAGGAGTGATTTTATGTGTTAACTGCACTAGTAACATAAATGGTTATCCAAAGAAGCGTTAATAATGGTACGTATGTAATGATGTTTCTCAACTATATTAATGATATTATATAAGTATTTTGTCTTTGTCCCTGTTTTTGCCATGGAAAAAAATACCCCTTTGCCTAAGGGCCTCACTTCCCAGCTATACTTGACAACTTGTGGATTTTTTTTAATATTTCTCTCCGATACACATACATTCTAAGATGATTTTTTAGATATTCATGACTTTCGAATACAAAAGTTAACCCTGAACTTTTTATTATGCATTTTTAGCAGGGTTTTTTTTGGGTAACTTGGAGAAAATTTTCGACTGTTATGTGCGTGATGTGATGATAAAATGTTGGGTAAAGTATTTGTCCCCTGATTATAGGATATTGTTATGTTGAGTTACAAAATAGCTTCCGACTATAGAGAATTATTTTGTTTGGTTGAGTATATCGATTATTAAAAATTATAAAATAGTCATCCGACTATTTATCATGTTCTAAATTCGTTTTATTATATTAAAAAATTAACTTTGAGTTGGATGTTAATTTGTTGATTGAGATATGATAAAATCTAATCTCATAATCTTAAATGACTATCATATCTCATTCAGCATGTTAATGTCCAGCTCAGATGAATATTAATTTTTTAACGGAAAAAGATGAGTTTGAAACATAATGAATAATCGAGTGATTATTTTATATTTTTTAATGGTTGAGGGACATAATAAAGTAATTTAGATATTATTTTGTAATTTTTAATAGTCGGGTGATTCAATAAAACAATATCTTATAGTTGGAGGACGTTGTATACTTTATCCTAAAATGTTTTTATCTCCATGTTTAGTTAGTTAACTTTCAGTGTGTGTTTTTTCAACAAACCTTAGAATTTTTAATTTTATCATTGGATGATTTACGTCGACTCTCTGGGACCTTTTATTTCTCAGATTGACCTAAATTTTTTAATTGTTTGCTCCTTGGAGGAATTGGTAACAACTTTATTCTTTTTAAATTTGATTTTTTTTCAAAATTAAAACATTTAAATTAAAGTTTTGATCTGTAAATCAATTAAGAAATTTGATATACGATTTTTTTTTTGCATTCTTAATTTTTTTTAGAATAAAATATTTTGATGTTGGTGAATCAAAGGAAGTGCTTGGACTTGAGCATGAGAAATTTTGTAAAAATTTAATTAATTAGTGTTAAATGAGAATGATTGAGTGACTTAAAAGAGTAAAATTCAAAAGTTTAGTATAAAATTAATTTTTTTTGAAAGTTGGGTGATTGAATACGAATCTTAATTATTATTTATATAAAAATTTCATTTCGTATATATCTGTTTGTGGATTAGACATCTTTTTTAATTGTTTTTTAATTTTATTTTGATTCATATTAATTCTTAAATTTAGCAAATTTTCATTTAAGTTAATGATATGTTATTTTTTGCTTAACAATGATGTTGATGTGTTACATTAGTGATTATGTTAATTTTTTAATGATGAGTTATCAAATTAAAAGTTAATCTAAACATTAAATATAATTTTTAAAAAAATAAAGTTTGAAAATAAAAATTGAATAAAAGTAATAATTTAAATACTAAACGTATAGTTTATTCTAAAATATAAATAATCGTCCGTTGATTGAAGGATGACAACACTATACGATATCATCTTAGACAATCAAAGAGAAAAAATAGAAAAACAAACAAAAATTTAGAGAGAGTAACGACTAATTTAAAATAGCAATTAAGATACTAACGATAAATTGATATAGTGAGATAAGATTTTAAATTCTTTTGAAAATGTCAGAGATTCAAATCTTGATGTTTACGAATGGATCAATTTGGGTTGACAGGATCATCTTCGCTTCTACAATACTCTATTCAAATTAATCGATTAATAAATCGAATATCGGTAGTTATAAAAATAATAATAATTAAGATTACATCTTAATGATCCCCTCTAATATGGAGTATCATAGACATAAATATAGATATTATATATAATTTTTTTGATAAATTATAGATGATTCATTTTCATACATTGAATAAAGAGAAAATAACCTCAGTGACCGAAAATACCTTATAATATACGATTTTAACAAACTTTTTTTGAATTTACCAAAATGACCAACTAAATCGCAATGCGATCGATAATTAGCAACGCGATCTCCAGTATCGCAAATCAGTTTTCAGATTCGCAATGCGATTCTGACTATCGCATTGCGATTTTTTAAATTCGCGTTGCGATTTTTCGACTATCGCAATGCGATTATGACTATCGCAACACGAATCTGACTATCGCAACAAGATTCTGACTATCGCAACGCGATTCTGACTATCGCAACGCGATTCTGACTATCACAACGCGATGATGACTATCGCAATGCGATTTTCAAAGTGCCATTATTATCGCAACGCGTATTTTTTTTTCAATTTCCAAACACGAATATTAATATATCGGAACACTGAACCGTCCACAGTATATCCTGTAATCGCAACTCATAACCTAAAACCCTAAATCACAACTCAGCTCCATCTCCATCTCTCACTCTCTAAGGCGACATCCGTCCCCAGCTCTGACGAAATCAGTCCCCATCTCCGGCGAAATCCGTCTATCTCCATCTCTCAGAGCCACCCTCACAATCATTCACGGTCAGAAATGGAAAATCAACCAAATCAACCACCGAGGGTTAGTTTTTTTAATTATTTTTATTTTAAAATTTTTGCATTATTATTAGGTTTTTCACATTGAAATTGAAGATAAGTTTACTGGTAATTTCAATAATAGATTAACCATTTCATTTAGATTGCTTATTAAATTCATTCGATTGCTGCCAATACTGCTAAACTGTTTAGTCTTTAAACCCTGTGAATTTAGTATTTGTCTTTGTTTTGTATTTTGGTTGAAGTAATGCAATCAATTCAAGTTTCAATTTTAGTATTTAAAACTGAGAATCGCAACGCGAAATGAAAATCGCAATGACAGAATCGCAATGCGATTTTAGTTTCGCGTTGCGATAGTCAAATTCGCGTTGCGAAAGTCATTTTCGTGTTGCAATTTTCATTTTCGTGTTGCAATTTTAAGTTTCAGAAACTATTCTTCTTCTGCAAATTGAAACTTGAATGAATTGCATTACTTCAAAAAAAACAAAGACAAATACTAAATTCATAGTGCTGCAAATTTAAGTTTGAAGAATAAACTACTACTCTTTATGTTTATTGCTCTTGGTATATCTTCACAATGTAGTTTTTGGTATATCTAACTTGGTATGTTTATTGTTTTTGTAGAACTTTTATTCGGCTCAATTGACCTTAAGAAATAAAGTAAGCCTGGCCAAAACAATTGCGTCGAAGCTTTCACCTGCAAAAAGAAAAATATTTGAGGATACTTGCTTCGGGCCATGGCTGAAAGTACAACATCCGGGTGAAGATGCTATGTTGACCCATCTGTTTATTCAAACCATGACTAGCGATCTACCAGAGACTATACAACGTCGTGATGAAGAGATATGGTTTGATTTTCCACCGGCGTATACGTGTTTTGGGCGGGAGGAGTTTTGCTTAATCACCGGTCTACGCTTTGGACACGATGATGTAGGTCGGTACACTAGACATATTACCCGCCTATCATGGTTATCCTGGGTTTTTCCTGAGCTGTCAATGGAGAAGCCGAATTTACACGTGGAAGACTTGACGAGATTATTGAATAAGAAAAATGGTTTTACTCGGATGGATGACGTCGATGTTGTCCGAGTATGCCTTCTAATACTTTTGCATGTCGGCTTTTTAGGCAGAGAGGCTAGACAACCTATTCCTAATGATCTAATTAAATTGGTAGATGACCTAAATGCATGGAACCTGTTTTCGTGGGGTTCGTATCTCAGGAAAGCTACATGGAATAAGTTGTCGTCTGCCTTTGATGATCGAAAAAGTTTACGTGGCGATGGTTCCAAATACACTTTGTCAGGCTTTATTTGAGCCTTTAAGGTAAGAATTTTTATATAATGTTTCCAAAATTATAATTAATTATTTAACAATTACTAATGTTTGTTATTATATTGTTTGTAGATTTGGATATTTGAGGCCTTTCCCGCCATGCAGACATATGCATTAAAAACTTCTAATGATATTCCTAAGGCTATTTATTGGAAGAGGAAACGGACCTTGCAGCAATGGGAAGATTTACTACCGTATACGACAATAAATAATGTAAGTTAACACAAATACTACCATATGTTTATAAACAAGTTATTACTAGTACACGTTTAACTTTGTTTTAGCTTTTATATTGTTAGGAGGCCAACACTCCATTACAGAGGCTGACACCCACGGAAGCTGAGGTTGCCACTGATTGGTGGCAAGCTAGTAAGTATTTTTTTGATGGCACGGATGATGAGCAGCCTCCACTTCGAGAGCCATCACCTCACCCAGAGCCATCACCTAATCGACCCGACTATACACCTCCACAACGAGAGCCATCACCTATTATGTCACATCATCGAGCCTCTTCTCCACCATCACCTCATGATAGGCGACCGACAAAAATGCCACAATGTTTATCTCCCTGTTCTCCACCTCCACGGGATGAGTTAGGGGATTTATGTGATGAGGTCAATACCTTGCGTGAGGAGGTCGGTACTTTACGCGATGACAATGGTGCATGGCGTGTTGAGGTGTCTACTTTACGTGGTGAGGTAGCCGCTCTACGTGAGATGGTAACATCGTTGCAGAATGAGATTCATACTCTACGCAACGAGGTAAGTTTAATATTTTTCATATTTAACTTGATGATAAATTTACTCGTAATTTCACTTAGATTAACCATGTCACTTAGATTAACCATTTCACTTAGATTGCTTAGTAAATTCATTTGGTTGCTGCCAATACTACTAAACTGTTTATTCTTTAACCATGTGAAGTTAGTATTTGTTTTTGGTTGTCTTTTGGTTGAAGTAATGCAATCCATTCAAGTTTCAATTTGCAGAAGAATAATAGTTTACTTTCGCAACGCGAAAATGACAATCGCAACGCGAATTTGACTAT